TGGAACTCTGTGATAGTAGATGTAATCTCATGCTGCAGCAGCTCCAGAATTAAGCGACACGGCAGTTTAATGTCACAATGAGACAATCAGGATGTCCTCTTTTTTTTTTTATCCAAGACGGATTAAAACGCTTCACCCACATTACAAATAAGCTCTACATCATTAGCATTTGTACTCTCATTGGGAGAGACAATGTGCATGAATTGATTTATTATTAATTGTTTTTACAAGATACACTGGATAAATTACACCGACAGGATTTGTCCATTAAAGAACACTGATGAGTAAATCATTTCCAGGCATGAGGGCCGAGTGAGAGATTCCATCTGCAAATCCCGATCATCGGGTGACACAATGATCCGGTTATCTGAAAAGCTGGAGCAATTTTCTGTGATTATGAAAATGATGAAAATGAAAAACACATTGGCTCAATAATCGCCGGCGAGTATTTTTCATTTTCATTCTGATTATTTTCCAGATAAGAGACTATAATGTGACCTCAATCTTTTTCTAGTTGTAATCAATTTCTTTTTAGGTGTGTAACCTTAAAAGGTTTTCTTTCTTGCCTCCCCGACATCATCGACGGTTTCGAGACGTAGGTCACATTCGTTAGAGAAAGAGAAAAGAGAGAAAATATGTTTTACACAAATATACACGAAACAGTAGCGTGGAATATGTAACTGTATCGTGGCTCAGGATCTCCTGATAGAGGCCGATGAGCGCCAGAGAACCATCGAACCAGTCGATCCGTGTCTGCATCGACCACTTCGCTTTCTTCACGTCCTCAGGCGTCTTAATCTGTCTTCTGATCTTAATTAAGAACGAACCAACTGGAAAAGAGAATTACAGACCTTCACCTCTTTTCAGAAGAAAGGGGTTACGCTGCTTTTACGTAAACCACAAGGACACACTGACGCAAATATTCTAACTTTTCTCTGGCTTTACATGAGAATCTGTAAAGTCAGTCTCATTGCTCTTTATTTGGGGACCATCAGGCATCTTTATCGGGCCTTTATCCAATCAGTGAATTCTAATGGCGCCCGCTATCTCCTGGACAATCACAGCCCATCAAGGGAACCTCTTAAAACACGCTCACTGTGTGATTGCATCGTCACGGTTTACAGATTCACGTATTCTGTTTCTTGCTTGAAAGGGTTGTTTTGAAGTAAAGTTGACTAAAGTATTCTGTTTTGTAACCAAAATATAAAATAAAAGAAGGGAATTAAATGGAACCCGCACTGTTCCGATTGACTCCACAGACGTGGATGCAGAAGACAAAATGTGCCGCGTGTCTTTCGGCTGAGCAGATTAAGGGAGAAGTTGGGAGAAGTTATCCTGCAACATGGTTCCTGTCCATCCGTTCAGGGCCGACGCCTCTCTTCATGTTATCGAGGACCTTTATCGACCTCAACCAACTGTAACCGCAGTGGCACAGAACGGTGTGCGAGTACCGATCGGCTTTGTATTGATTAACAGTCCCATCAGTCTCCTGTGAGTGATCAGTTTCTCTGTTCCACTGGCGAGCTTTCTCCCCGAAGCCAGAGACGTGAAGGACAAAGGGACGCAGAGGAGACCCAGACCTCTCCCGTCACATGCAGATGTTACATACTTTCATCCGGCTGCCTGGCGTCTAGGAAACAAGTTTGCGTGTGTCAGAACAGTCAAAAATCTCAATATGTTTAATTTAACAGCTTCCCTGGGAGACTAAAGCAGACTGCGGTTCCCGAGGAGAGGTCCCTCCTTGAGGTGCGGGAAGAGCCGGATCTTCGCGGTCCGTCCCAGTCGCTCGTTTAGTCACACGGAACCAGCTCGCAGACCTTCATTCCTACGAGCTGAACTTTAAGCTACTTTGACACATGGAAGGTGCTGGAAATCCCTTCTTCTTTGTTTACTTTGTCCACGTCGGCCAGCGGAGCTTACCGCCAAATTGCCTCGTCGCCGTCGGCGCCTTGGCGTGCAGCCTTTTGGTTGCTTAGTAACAGTCGATGAACAGGAGCCTGGGAACAGGACGACACGTCCACATGTTTCTAGACGCCACATATGAACGTCTCCCGAAGGACGTCTTCCAGAATGAAGCCCCCCCCCCCAAACCACTGATGTCTGGGCCGGATGAGACGCCAGCGCAATACGAGGTATAATGAGTGAGGAAATGTGGAATAACTCCTTTGTAATATGAAATTAAAAGGCTCGTATTTTCAGGAGATGTGTTAACGTTCAGAAGAGGAACGCCGACCCCCCACAAATCGTGTGTAGAGACTGACGCTCCAGTCCTGCAGGCTACATTCTGAATGCACACACTTTTTATTTCTTCTCAAAACTGTGGAAACTCTGAAGCTGATGTCTGGGTGGTGAAGAAAGGCCTCAGTTTGAATTGATAACGGTTTGAAGTGATTAAAAGTATGAGTCACAGCGACAGGCAAACATGCCACACCGTGACCAGTACAGTACATATATAAGCATGAGGTGGTTATCGATGCCACCAGTTAGACTCCAACTGGTGGCATCTATAACCATAGCTGTTCACAAATGACCTGCATATGACTTTATTAATTGCATTTTCTCGCAGGACTTCCCTCCTATTTCTACACGTACCACAGTGTGGTTTGTATTTTATTCATAATTGGATCTAATCTCATCTTGGTAACAACACGTGCAACCGAGGGAATGTTGCTACCACCTTGGTAAAACACCGCCGACAGAGGCCTGGTACTAGATCACATCTGCTTTGGGTTAAATCTACTTGGTAATTTGCAGGAGAATTAAGGATTAAGATCAGATAATATCACAAATCCCCAGTGGTCTCCTGGTATTACCATGAATATATATAATACATGTAATTTAGCTAGTGTATAGATGACTTCCATATGAAGCGGCTCACATTAATTGCTTCCTTTCAAACCGTAGTAACAACTCTCCGGAGGACGTCCATGAATGTCAGACATTGATTGAAAATATTGCACTTGCTTTGGTCAGGGCCACCATGTTGTAATAAACGCACTTATTGATTTAATACAACGAGCGCCAACACCATTTAAGATGAATATCGCACATTTGCTGTCTCAATATTACAACAGCTACTTCAACAAAAGTCGAGAGTCGAATGACTCAGAAGAAACTGAAAGAATCTAATACGAAGATATCGTATTAGACGGACTCTTTCATTTCTGCCAGATCGTTTGTTTTTGACCTAATATACGTGTAGTTCAGTTCTTTTTACCATGACTTCATCTGCGACGTGTGGCCATTGCATGTAAAGAAAGGGTGTGAATTCATTACGACCTGTTTTAGACGTGTCTCTGCCTGAGGAGAAAACCTAGTTTGCAGATGTGTGAATGGTTCCTTCTTATTAGAAAAGTCATTGTAAAGTGAAGGGAAGTCATCTCTGACCTTTATCAGGCTTACTGGATGGGAAAGTAAGAAAAAGGACCACTGCGACTTGATAAGGTTACTGGAAGTGACTGATTCCCCCTGAAAAGGCTGCCGGCCGTAATGAATGTGTGTCTTCTAGAGGTCGTAGTAGAAGTTTAGACTCTGGGGTTTAGGCTTAAATAAACTGCATATTAAGGTCATATGGAACCCTTTATTTGATTACAGTTGTGTTAAAAAGCCTCCTTGTAATGTCACAAACATGAAGCCTTCAGGTCAAAGGAAGCGCAGAAGACTTAACATGCTGAAAATGTTCCTCTTCAGGGGAACTTCATAGAAGGCTCTTTTTTAAAATCTACAACGAATTGATGGTGAAGCTTTCGGGGCTAAAGATCAAAAACGAATGTCCCAATACTCCAGCGGTCTCCAGCAGAGGAAGTCTGCCTCCGGTCCGTATTCACTTTATGACCTAAAGTGTTTCAGGCTGAACAACACAAAGCAGCTCCTGGTTCCTACTCTTTAGAAAGATGAAGCACAACCTTTATGAATAAAGGGAACAAAACAGGGGGTCTTCTAGAGACTGTTCTCTTTGGAAGCCGCTCATTGGGCAAAGCCTTTGTAACTGCGGGTCAGTTATACCACATGTTAATGTGCTTTAGCCACTTAGCCAATTGGTTCGAGCTCTGTTTTACATTCCCATTGAAAAAAAGAGGGCTTATTCCTCTGTAATTATAATTATTATGCCTCAGGAGATAATGAGACCATGGGTCTCTCTTTGTGTGCATCTCTGTGTCTGTGAGCTGAAGGATATTTTGGGTGCACATCTATGGCTGCATGGCCAAGGACTTCCTGTGGTTTGCAGGAACTCACACTCACGCCTTTCATCGTATTCATTTCATCCAACATTACAGCAGAGGTGGTTGCACGCACACACACACACACACACACACACACACACACACACACACACACACACACACACACACACACCTGGAGGAGACCCATTTTTTTTGCAATTCACACACCGAAGAGGCTCATGGAGGAGAACACAACTGAGTGGGGGTCTCAGGGTTATGCCCACCACTGTGGTCCTATACATTATTCATACATCCCCATATGTGTGTGTATCTGTACTACTCCCCGCGTTCGCCACGGCCCACTTCAAAGCACACGTCTCCTACACCGCCCCCCCCCCCCAACAACAACAGCGTGATGTGGCCATTTCACGGCGCTGAACATTATTCCCTAATAATGTTCTGCAGCGATTACTGCACGAGCGGCATAGGGAGGATGAATGGCGCCCTCTGTATGCTGTGAGCTACAGCCATGTAGAGAAAACATGAGCAAGTCGTGGTTGAAGTAAACAAAAACAAGAAATGCAACTGTGAGTCGGCTGAAATGTGTTGCGCACCGAAAGGACTCGGGTTGCTGTCGGTCTTCATGAATTTTGAGAGGAAGCTGAGAATTCTTTGATTTGAGCCACATTGTTAGCTGTTGTTTGCCATGTGTATGTGCCGTTACAAGGACAACAACATTCCAATCTCATCCAAACAACATGTACTGAGCGTTGAACAGCAGCTCCATTCCTTACAAACGCCGTCACGTTGAGCGGAACAAGGAGCGCGGGGACTTACTTGAGTACATGCGTGGAGCTGTTGATCTGCGTGGCCGTGCAGGCGGCGCCGGCCCCCAGGAGGGACGGCCTGCGGTACCTCTTCCTCCCGCAGCACAGGATGATGAGGAAGGCACGGCGGAAGGACTTGTTGAGGAAGGCGTAGAGGATGGGGTTGAGCATGGAGTTGATGTAGCCCAGCCACAGGCAGGCCACCCACAGCTTGTCCGGCACCGTGTAGTCTATGAAGGGGTCCACCACGTTGGTGATGAAGAACGGCGCCCAGCAGAGGCAGAAACACCCCATGATGATGCACAGCGTCTTGGCCGCCTTGGTCTCTGTCCGCATGCGGTGGTTGCGCTGGTGGTCGGCGGAGTCCGCGCCGACCCCGGCCCCGCCCGCCCGCTGCAGCACGCTGATCTGCAGGGCGTGAGCTCGGGCCGTGACGTAGATCCTTTGGTAGGCCAGCACCATGAGGACCAGCGGGATGTAGAAGGCCACCACGGAGCAGGTGAGGGCGTAGGGTTTGTTCACCATGAAGACGCAGGACGTGGAGTTGGTGCCCTCGCTGTAGCGCCGCTCTTCAATCTGGCGAAAGGAGTCACATCAGGGGGGTTGGGGGGGGGGACGAATGAGACAAACGGCTCGTACAAAGTGCACCACTTGAGATACCTCACTGGAAACACGATTGACGCCGCCTCCGGCTGTCATAAGTGGAATGTCTGGGCAACGGGAAGATAGTTTGGTATTGCAGGAGCTCTGGCTTCTATCCGGGGGTCCTAGCGGTATTGACTAATCACGCTCGAGGGAGCCTTTGCGGATGTGGTGACGCGAAGAGCTCGCTCAAAGGACTTGAGAGCCATCATCCTTCACCGACGGCACAGTGCGACCACACATCGCTCCATCCCGCTCACACGCGACGCGGCAGCGGGTCGGGGTTAAGTGTCACTTCGAGAGCATCGACGTGGACTGAATCCAAAGTCTTTTTTAATTGACTCATTGACACATGACCAACCGGAGAAGACTTCTGACTAACGTATCCATCGCTAAACCGCTCTTCTTGTTCCTGTCAAATCCAATTCTTATTCAAGATAAAGAGTGTGAATATAGTCCATACTGTGAACGATAATTTGTTTTAAGGAACTACATTTATGTTTAATGCAAGCACGATTCCTCTCAATCACACAAACTCACATCTGAGGAACAGAAGGTGGATTGTTGTGATTCATAAGTGGGTTTAAGCATCCCTGCTACAACATGGAACACCTTCAGACGAAAACCAGCGCTCTCCTCAGTGGAGTCTCCGCCGGCGGGGAACACAGGCCCTGAGGGAGACGGAGGTTCTGCACGTCCCCATTCATCACGGCGAGCGCCCGTCTCAGTTTTCTGTATCTCATCTGTGTGGAGAGGAACTGGGACTGCGGGGCTACGGGATGAGTGACGCGAAAACGCTCCCTCGTCTGTAAACAGAGGCTGGTTTTTATGAGCGGCTCAAATGTTTAAGTGATTCCAGGTGAGCGTTGAGGTTATTCCCGGGAATGCGGACAATACACGCGTGATGAAAGTGATGTATTAGAAAATAGATATCTATTTTATCTGTACTTCATGTGTACGGTTGACGGAGGTGTTTTTCTGGTGTGTGGATTTATTCTGCTTAGCCAAAGCGCACATGGAAGCAGTTCTAATTAACACATCACTCATTCCAACCTAAATCCGCTTAGCCGGGGGAAAAATGAGGAACATATTCCTCATCTCTGGAAAAGTGGATGGAATTTGTTGGAGTATTCTCGTTGTAGATCCAAGTCGACTGACAGCTCATTAACGGAGCATGTGAAGACACCAATAAATGAGGGGTTTTAAATGAAGACATCTTGATTGTTAATTTATGCTAACACGAGATATTTTCCCTGAAGTGAAACTGCAAAAGTATTTGCATTAAAATAAAAACAGGCTGTGCGATTGGCGGCTTTGGAATAGTTTGCAGCAAACACCCATGACTGAATGATGAAGTGTAACCATAGCTACAAGAAAGGGCCGACGATGCTGAGATCTGATCATTACATGTTGTAAAAGCGTGACATCTGAATTATATTAAGAGATTAATAGATTATGATTGCGCCGGCTATGTCTGCTTTTGACTAATCCATTCTTCATCACGCTAAGGTAAAACAATCCTGTGATTAGAAAGGAATCCTCTGATTAAACCAGAGACTTTCAAAAGAGAAATACCACTTAATGAGCAATTTGGGAAAAAGCTCCATAGTTAAAAGAAGAAGCTTTTCCACACGACCACGGGACGTTTTTTCTCAGAGTTTAGGAACCACCGACAGCGCAGCAGACACATTGTTTCCTACAGTTCCTTCACTTGCTGCATCGTTCCCTCTCGTGGGGACGTAACCGCTTAGAGCTTACGTTGATATGTGGAGAAGTCCATCAGGTCTTGATCGACTATGTTTTTTTTAAGTTGAGCCAGGCTGTAAACACAAGTTGTACTTGAGAAAAGAAATGTGGACTTGCTCCTAAGTATGAGTCCTCTTAGCGACCACTTTTAGAGGTCCACTGAACCCCAGAGGACCTCTGGACCTCCACCATGTGATTTGGTGAGGAAACCACAGGCCGATCCCTGACCAATCAGAGTGGAGTATTCCACAAGGGGAACCGGTACAGACAGACGGTGTGACTCTTTGTGCCTTTGTGCCACTTTGTGCCAGAACTGACTGACTGCTCAGAATATTCAACGGGTCTAATTGGACCCGAAGAGGACGCCGCCACTTCAGACTGCGCCGGTGAACTCCTTTGTGTGTGTGTGTGTGTGATGGTTAGCTCGGAGGAAGCTTGTACCTGAGACCTATAGTTCTTTCAGTCGTGTTTATGTGTTTATGTCTATTTTAATATTGCATCCAAAAAAAGAAGAAGTGAAGAAATGCCTCAAATTAAAGCGAGACGGCGAAATATCAGTTTACAGAAGTAAGACAAAAGACATTAAGTTAAATCAACCAAAGAGACCGATTAATGTAAAAAAAAAAGGTGACAAGATAAAGGTGAAGCTTGAGAAGAAAACTGAAAATGAAGAGGCAATTGCTTGGTCCACCTTTGATTTAAGAATTCTCTACACATTTTGCACTCGAGTGAAGTACTTTGTCTTTGATATGAAGAAAAAAGGTTTGCAGCATTTTTAACCCTCTTCAACAGTTCCTTTGCTGAAGCAAGACTATAATAAATTACTCTAATCTATTCGTGTACACACAGTAGCCAGAGTTCCTTGTTCAGTGCTTCCATTGTCCTGAAGAGACGGGCTCTTCTGGAGTCTTTCTAGATAAGATCCATCAACCTATGGAGCTGATGCTGTGCTTCCATTGGTGCAGGGCCACACTGGGGTTAGAACTCTCGGCCAAATGAATCCCAACCTGCCTCCTCCATGTTATTCTGTGTCCAGATATCGTGGGTTACTGACCTTTTTACATGTTGAGGACTGGAATAAGAATGGAATAAAAGTTTCATAATCAACCAACTTGTTTTCCCTTCACGTTGATCCTCACCCCGGGTCGGGGGAAGTTCTCTTCTAATACCTTCAAAGTGCTTTTTTGCACTTCGCAGCAGACTATTTTTTTCTCTCTATTTCTATCTTGAGTCCTTATTGACATCCTCAAAAAACCTCACCGCAGTGACTCATCCTTGAAATACTTGAAATAAAGAAAGAGCTCGACTCCTCGTCTGCGGCGTCAGTGGCCCCGTCCTTCGGGTTTCTGTCTGACGGTGTGGACGTTGTTGCCATAGCAACAGGTCAAGCATGTGCGTCTCGTAAACAATACAAACAATACAAAGTCCTGAGGAAAGGAATTTGTTTATCAAGCAATTCTGGTAGTAATTGTGGTTTCTGTTTTTCGATGGTTTGTTTTGCTTCTTCCGACTGCTCTTCTCATTTCCGCGCAACTTTCTTTTTCTCCCCCTTCACAGAACTTGAATCTTCCCCTCACAGTATTATGTTAATAAACTTTTCATTTTGTGTGGGGGATTTGGACTATTTCCGGCTCCATCGTCTAAAGAATAGAACCAACGCGGGCTGCTCGTTTTAATCGCTTCCCCCCCCGCCGGTGAGCACGCAAACGCTGAATGACTCACCAGGTGGTCGATGCCGATGCTGTTCCAGCCCAGCATGATGGGCAGGAAGGAGATGAAGGTGGGAATAACCCAACAGCCGCCCATCATCAGAGCCACTCGCATGGGCGTCATTTTGTTCTGGTAGACCAGCGGCTGGCAGCAGATAGCGTAGTACCTGCACACCGACGACAGAAAGAAAGGATCACCGATCAATACGTCGATACACTGCCGATAGATGAATCGTCATTTTGCTTTATTTTGAACTAAATGGAATCAGCCTCATCCCACCGCCGATGTCAGCACGTAAAATATGATTTTTGAGCTTCTCTCAGGACCTCGGCTTTGCTCAAAGGAGATTAGAAAGAGCAGTTTTAAGGATTTCATTTAATTGGCTAAATGAAAAAGACAGAAAGATGAGGACAACATACAACAGAGACAGATGTCCTTATGATGCTAATACAATTATACAAAATGTAAATGTCTCCCTGGATGTTTGTCTCCCTCACTGGCAAACCCCATTACCATAATATTTCATAATCTCAGGGAATAATACCAAACACCAAATAAAGGCAATAAATGAAGAGCAACTGAAAAAAAGGGTAAAAAGCCTCTTTATTTCTGGGTTTTTCACTCCGCTTCTGTCTCCTTTCTTTTTAACGAGCCCTTTTGGCAACACAAGAGGGGGTTTCTGCCAAAGCTTTTTGCAATAATATGCTAACCACCAATAATTGAGCATTAGAACCCCTCCGTCGCCCATACACGTTTTACCGTCCTTTCTCTCAATCCGTTCCTCATCCACCATTCCTCACGGTTTTTGAGCACGTTTGACTTTTTTGTCATCGTCTCTCTTTGAACCTCCAGCCTTCACTAAAGCTTCCTGCCTTTAAAACAATCAGCAGTTCTCTCGTCTTGAAGTGAAGGGTGACGGAGGGTAGAAACACCTGATATCACCAGAGTCTGAAGACTCTTTGTGGAGCAACTAGTCAGCAAATCTTTCATTCTGTTAAATCTCTCAGCTGCTACATCCATCACTTGTCCTCCATGCCAGCGATTAGCCGGCACCTTCTGTCCCCTTTGAGCACGTATGAAGCAGGTCAGCACGTGATATGTTTGACTCGTCAAGAGAGCTTTCGATACTTGAAATGCATTTTCTTTTTTCTATGAGAAGATTTTACAGTCGACAGTCCCGCTGCCCCAGATCTGTCTCTTCTCTTGTCCACTTTGGTCTTTTTCCCCCGCTGCCTCAATGCTTTTACTTTGGTGCTCACGAGCCGAGCAGCTCGGTCCTTCACGCTCAGGACCTCGTGTTTGCGGCCCACTTCAGGCGTGTGAACCAGAAGGCGGGTTTCCTCGCGTGTGCCTCCTGGTGAAGCAGGACTCCGAGCCAGACGGCGACATCGTTTTAAAAAAAATCGGAATCTGACTTTTTCAGTTGAGAGAACACGAAACCGTTCACGTGTTGCAGATGAAGCAGCCACGCGGTGTTACAGTTGACTCCTCTCCTGCAGTTGAATATCGTGGGCTGCACTCGGCCGCGTCACAGCGCTTTGCTGCAGCGCACTAGTCGATACGTACCTTCCACCACTGAGGCCCAAAGAACACATCAAATTCGGCGTCACTGAACTGTTGTTTTCGCTCTTTTGGACTTTTTTCTGATCCGTGACAGAAAGAGGGAAGGAGGACCGTTTGGAGTGTGCATTTAAACGCTTGCCACGTGCGTGGGGGGAAATGGCGCTGATTACCCGCCCAACGGCAGGTCACAAATGCGGCGTATACGCTCGAGCATCACAGCGAGCGCTTTGTGCGCCTCGGCCGCGGCGCTGATCCCCCCCCCCCCACACACACACAGCTGGATTATCAGAATAAGCACGTCTCAAATTTGTATTTCCCTTCGTATCCGTCTCATTCAATCTGCAACTTAAACCAGAACACACACACACACACACGCACACACACACACGCACACATCTGCGCCAGCGAACGTCTGCATGTGTGTGTGTGTGTGTGTGTGTGTGTGTGTGTGCGAGCGTGATATCAGACAATGCGGCGGGAAGCGGCACGCTGTCAGCCGGTGATAGCGCGCCAGGCGACGCTGGCTCGGAACCGCATGAATAGGGCGGCGCTGTGAGAGAGAGGAGCGCTGTGAATGAGCCCCGGAGAGGGAGACTGAGGGGAGAGAGAAAAGGGGGGCAAAATGGAGAGGGAAGTGGGAGGAAAAAAAAAAGAGGGAAGTAGGACAGAAAATAGAGGAAGGAAAGGGAGGAGGAAAAACGGAACGCGTTTCAGAAAATAGAGAAGGGTGTTGATCCCTATTAAAGGGCAAATGGCAGAGGCTGAATTGCATATTGTTACAATTCCTCATGGGAAAGGCCTGTCAGTTCCCTCTCATCACATGCATGTTTTCCAAAAAAAAAAAAGAAAAATCAAAGCAACAGATAATATAGTATATTGTAGCGGGCACCTTTTTACCCCTGATTGAGGTTCTAACCCCGAAAGTCGTCCTCTCCGGAGCAGAGCATTCACGTCTTTACAAAGCGCGCTTGTCCTCAGAGGACCGAACACTCTTCGGCATTAAAGCTAATCCGCTCCGTCCCCGTCGTCAGTCTCGCTTGATATTTCACCGCCTCCCCCTGCTATGGTCGTACCTCATTAACTACTTTTAGTGCGTGGCATTTCGCGGGCATCTGTAATCTGGAGAGGCTGTGTGTATGCTGTGTGTGGTCTGCATGTGCTGTGGCTTTAAAACAAAAAAAAAAAGGTCAAGAGGCCCTTTCTGCTTGAATCGCCCAACTGGACGTCGCGAAAGGCGTCTTTGGGAGTGGGTGTGGCCTGAGTGACAAAAGCTCCAACGCAAGTAAGACGTCTTGCATTGCACGAATAGAGACCTCTGAATGCACAAAAGGCACCCGCGTGCACACGCACTCCCAGAAGCTTGAATATTTACAAAAAAACATTAGTATGCACTTTCCCTCTCACACACACACACACACACACACACACACACACACACGGACCTGGGTTAGATTAGAAGCAGACGGAGCACGGTTGAATGACAGCATGTCCTGACCGCGAGCACTTTAAATGGCCCCTGTTTCCTTTTGATCTACAAAACATTTCTCTCTGTTTATTTCTGTCATTTCTATTCAGACATTATTTATATCGGGCGCTGGTTTCTGAGAACGGCCGAGCCCAAAGTACGTCGCCGTCCTCCGCGTCCACGGGCTGCTGCGAGAGATTCCACTCTGCCTTCACCTCAAACAAAGCAGCTTTCTGCAAACTAAATGCTACGATACGACTTTACCTGCACCGTCAGGAACATTTCCTGGTTTCATTTGTGATATTTTTACTCACAGATGGAAATGTTGGGCTCTGCATCTCCACCAGGTTATTCTGTAGACGTCGTAAAAAGCATTGATGAACTCACAGAATGTTAATTATAAAATTAGATATTCAGAAATGAATAAATCTGTGGCACTTTTTCCTTCAACATGCAGAAGCAAAAAATGAAACAGCTTACGCCGATCATCTCATGAGCCTCTGACTTCTCTCTGGCCGACACATGAACTTGTCCTCCACCGACACTACCAGGAGGGGGAAACAAATCAGGACCATGAGAGTTTACACTAACATGAGGATGTCACACCCAAAGAACTGCTTGTTTATCACCTGCAACATCGGAACCCAGTCCGAACCAGATGGTCCGACGGATTAGATCCACCTGGTGAAGCCAAGCGGATCTAATCAAACGCATCACATGTTGGGACGGAGGACCGGCAGCAGTCTGGATGTCGGCGTAAGGAATTCAGAACCACCGCGTCAGGCCGAAGGGACGGGCTGAACACGTGATCTCAAGTGACACAAGTCGCATACCTCATTGCACTGACCGCCACAGTCAGTCATGTCATCAGTCTCGGCTCCCTTTCCTTCAGAACACGCTGATCAATCTTGACGGGCGTAGTTGCGAAAAAACAGGAGGCGGGGCTTAGTGCCGTGCAGAAAAGCGGCATGGAGGAGGCAATGGACTGCAGAGTAAATGGAGACATATCTTTGCAAGCGAGCAGCCACAGTCTATGACAGGCTTCGCTGTCTTCAGCCTCCTGGGTCCCTCCGCTCCTTCGCCTCATCTCTCTTTTTGTCCCTGTAGCTTTCTGGGAAGCCTTTGCCTCTTGAGTGAAGCACTCAGTCCTTCACAGAGCCGCTGTGATGTAATTCATATTCCGTCTTGCTCTGTTTTGTCCCTTTCTTTGTCTACAGAAAGCTTTTTTCTCCATACAAGTCTTCATCACATATTCTTTAATTCAAATGTTAATATGCCATATTATCATCCCTGCTACTGTACTTTTATCATGACGTGCAGTGATTTGCATTAGCCTGTAATGTGGCCCCAGAGGCCCCCAATTAGAGCTTGATGTTGGTTTGGTTTGAGTGGAAAAGGAAAATGTCTTTAAACGAGAAACTTAAACTAACTTTGCTCATGCAGGATAAGCTAATAATGCATCCTCAACGGCACAATGGCGGTCCCCTTAACTCCGCCCCCTGGCCTTCGGTCCAGCCCGACCTTGATGTAAGTGAATGGGGGGCTTTTTGGGCTAAATGCCAACGCATTACAGACCAGTTTGTTAATGTTTTGAACTCTTGCTGGAGGCTTCGTCTTGAAACAAAATGATCAGCTTAAGCCTGACCAGATGGAAGCTGGTGTGACTTTGGGAGGATCCAGCCATTGTGCAGGGGGACTTTTTAATTAGTGGATTAAACCAATTTGACAAAACCAACTGTCAATGAAAATGTCCTCCACTCGTTCTGGCAATCCAGACATAAACTGTGGCTTTGGATTTCAAATACACACATATTTATAAACCATTTTTCCAATTAGTTGCATTTATACTTCATGAACTGAAAAAAATCTAAATAAACTCCACTGAAATAGTGGTTTTAAATAAAGTTGCTGATCAGGAGTTCTCCAAATGTGAGACCATTCAGTGTTCAATCACGTTTTTATTTTTCCTTCGTCACTTCATCTAGTCCTTCAGTTGTCTCAGGCTCAATGTCTCTTGGGTGTGTTGGCCTCTTCACTCGATGCCTTTTGTGTGGGAGCATCCTCTTACTGGCGCTTCTGGTATTATTTAGTCTGAATTCATTTCCATTCAGCTCTTTTGAGCATCTTCAGCTGACGTT